ATGCCCCCCCCCAGAAGAGCTTGGAGAATGATCAGAGAGCTGGGGATTGAACTAGGATCTCTGGGTGACTGCTGGAGCTGCCCCATCTCCCAGGCAGCATGTGGTGCCCTGCCGAGCCATGCTACACCTGCGTGATGGTGCAGTTGCCACACAGGTGCCAGGTGTGTGTGTGGGGGGGTCATCCCTGCTGCCACCCAGTGCATTGGGGGGGGGCGCTCTGCCACAAGCCCTCAGAGGCCAAAATCACAGCTGCCAGAGTCGGTGAGTGTACGTGGTTTTTTTTTTTTAAAGCTCCGCCACACTGACTGCAGAGCATGTGGATGACAGCATGTTGCCACTGCCAGCTGGGGCCAGTGCCAGTACCTGAGTTTGTCTGGTGCAGCCTGTGCCAAACGCTGGGAAGAACCCAGTGCTGGCACTGGCTGCAACCAGCAGCGGCAGCCTGCTGTCATCCCGCGTGCAGATCCGGGGGGGGCCCACCCCCCCCCGGGGTGGGGTTGTGCCAGGCTCTTCCTAGGGAGAGCAAGCCCCTGGATCTGCATTTGAGATGACACTGCCAGCAAGTGATATGTGTTTGTTTTGAACAGTTCAAGGAACAGTTTCACAAAAGCCCCTGTACCTATCTCCTAGAAACTTGGCAGGCTTCATGGCCTCAGAAGGGGCTAGTATACCCACAAGTTTCATCAGGATCAAGCAAGAAATGACAAAGTTATAGGCAGTTTTGTGATTCCCCAATATAGCTTATGGCCAAAACACCATCAAAATTCTGAAACAGCTCCAAAACACTTTTGGCTGAAACAAAACTGTTTCACTGTTTCAAATCACTGTCCCTCCAAAATGCCGAATCTGAAACGAAATGCAGGCATTTTGCACAGTCCTATTATCTAGAGTTGGCAAGCCAGTCTATTGACTGGTCATTTGACTCCTAGGGCTATGTGAAGCGTCAGCCCCTGATTGGATTTGGCAGAGATTTGGCCTGATTCGGTGGCCAAATCTCTAAATCCATATCAAATCAGAGGACCCTTTAATCTCTCTGAATTGAACTGGAACCCTTTGAATCAATTCGGACATAAGCACAGCTTTAAATGTTTTTTCTAACATACCTCTAGGTAGCAGGGGCTCATGAATGCTGCAATGCTGGGGTGCAAGCAGCACGGGACGGCTCCCCATCATGCTCAGCAGCAGACCCGGAAGTGGACAGAAGCACTTCTGGTTCACTTCTAGGTCCGCTAGGGTGCAGGCTGGCCCCCCTCCCCTGCACCCTCTAGCTTGGTGACTGGTGCCTCTTGGGTTGGGGGGGCTGATCGCTGAGCTGAGGCAGCACCGAGGGGCCCCCTAGAACGCTCCCTGGCAGACCCAGAAGTGGACCAGAAATACTTCTGGTCCACTTCTGGGTTTGCTGCCAAGCACGTGGAGGGCCCCCCATACTCCTGTGGGATACTCCATCTGCCCCAGCATTGCAGCGTTCACAAGCCGTGCCTGCTAACCTCAAGGTACGTAGAAAAAACTTTTATAGCTGTCTCTATGTCCAAATCGCTGATTCTCTGAATCAGCATCAAATCTTCAGATTCAGATTTGGCCAAATCAAATCAGGGACAGTGATCCAAATCAACAAATCAAATCACTGTCCCTGACTGAGGCCAAATCCAAATCCAATAGGGCCCACTTTGCACACCCCTACTGATTGCATATTTTTTGACCAAAGAATATAGCAATTTTCCAAAAACCCTATTTTTTGTAGCTTTCTTGACAAATATTATTTTTGTGTTTTTTGACACATTTCTTAATATTTTTTTTTTGTTTTTTGACACATTTCTTAATGGAATAATTCTGTGTATTATTTAGACCTACTGGCAATTTTTTTTTACTGATATTTGACTGGTCAAATACCCAACCCTAATACTATCTACAATTCTTCCTCTAGATAAGATATCCTTGAAGTTTCACATAGCATTTATTTTTCAGCATTTGAACTTTTAAAAAATGTTCTGTTTAATATTTCTTTTTGAGTTAGTCAATACATTTATGATGGTTTCTTATGAATTACTTCAATGCACTTATGATGGTTCCTTCAATGTTTTCTTTCTTTTCTTCTTCAGCAGATTGTAGCATACCTTCTTGGCACTAATTTATTCTGATTGATATACTTTTTTTTTACTTCCCTTTTCATGCAGGCCAACTGCACCTTGTCGTGCATCCACAGATGCATCTTGAGCAGGTCCAAGGTGATCCTCCCCCTCTATGTGGCACTGGTCAGGCCGCAGCTGGAGTACTGTGTCCAGTTCTGGGCGCCGCACTTTAAGAGGGATGTGGACAGCATCGAGAGGGTCCAGAGGAGGGCCACTCGTATGATCAAGGGACAGCAGGGTAGGTCCTATGAGGAAAGGTTGCGGGACCTGAACCTGTTCAGCCTTCAAAAGAGAAGGCTGAGGGGGGATCTTGTGGCCTGTTATAAACTGGTTAGGGGGGATCAGCAGGTGCTGGGGGAGTCCCTGTTCCCCTGAGCACCACAACGAGTGACCAGGAACAATGGTCACAAGCTGGTGGAGGGAAGGTTTAAGTTGGACATCAGGAGGCGCTACTTCACGGTCAGGGCGGCTAGAGTCTGGAACCAGCTTCCAAGTGAGGTGGTGCAGGCTCCCACCCTGGGCATTTTTAAGAGGAGGTTGGATGACCACCTTACTGGGGTCATTTGACCCCAGTGCTCTTCCTGCCATGGCAGGGGGGCGGACTAGATGATCTGCTCAGGTCCCTTCCGACCCTAGAAACTATGAAACTATGTGCTCAAACTGGTCAGATTTTTTACTACACAAGTCTTCTTTCCCATTTCTCTCATGAAGTAACTTCTTTTCTACAGAATTATTGACTGCTGGAAAAGTAGTGAAGATATGTAGGATATTGCATGAAGTTTTAACATAGTTCCTGTTTTGGAATTTCTGCAAGGTACCTAACAAATCCTAAAAAAGCCTCTTTTCAAAATGCCTATGTACATATCCAAACTGTATATTATGCATATATTCCCTTTGGCACACACATAAGAAAACCAGTTGGAGGGAGAGTTAGGTTATTGTCCACCAGAACTTAATATTAGAAGTTAGTTCCACAGGAAAATCCTATATGATTTTTACTTCCCATCCTGTGTTATCAGTAGAAAGAGACAGGAAAAGAAAGAGACTTTCAAACCTGTTGCTTTGTCAGTCCAGTTCCATTTTTCTCATCCAAACTAACGCCAGAGAGCACAATTTCAAACTTAGCTTTTCATTTTCTCCTTTTTTGTTTTAAAAAACAAAACCAAAACAATCCTTGAGGGAAAAATTCTCAATTCCTCAATCAGAAGGGGACAATTCATGTTGGGGGACAGGGTGGGGATGCAGGGGAAAGACAAATCCATTCACAGAAATAATTCTAGAAGTGAAATCAAGTGTCATCGCACTTTCCTTTTTACAACGCTACTTTCTGATGGGAAAATTCACAATTGAATCAAGCAGTAAATAAACACATGAATGCTAAAAAAAGCAGATACTTGTTATAATTCTGACATTTTTATTCACTAGAACAACACTGGGGAAAGAATCTTTACATACAGGTTTTTAAATTAGCTTTACAAGCAAATTCCAATATACAGTATTTACTCCCAATTTGGTTTAAAAAATAAGAAAGAAAAACAACAATGCAAGTAATATTAATGCTATTTTTGTAGCTAGTACTGAATTTAAGACTATAAATACTAACACAGAGTTAACATTTTTTTATCGTGATGCTTTTATGCTTAGGTAGGCAGTGAGCAGCTTTACCATAACAGTGATTGAATTTCCTTGCTAGTATGGTTATAGATTAGTACAAAACTAACACCTACAACCATCATCACATGTTAAATTCCACTCTGCTCAGAGAAAGTTGCTACAAATGAGATAAAGAATAGATTTGGAAGCCCTGTTCAACAGTGGATTTCCATTTTGATGGTAGGAAAATATCCATATTATGAATACTATATGCTGCGCAAAAACACTTCCAAACTACCCTGTGGAACACGCCATCTACCAGAATATGGACACGCATTAAATGGCATGGTGTATAAAGGTAGTGACATGCAAATAAAATCAACCATTTATATGACTTTCAAGTCCTCTAGCATCTTTATGATACAATGTATTAGTATTTAGATCAAAGATGGAGTAAAATTAACTAATTTATGATACTGTCTAGTTGAGCTACACTGTAATATAATCTAGTTTGGGAACCACATTCTTACCTTATTTAATTATTTTTAATGAGCACCATATTATGGGAAGTCATTGATTCCCCCCCCCCCAGTGGCTACCATAAATGATAGTTTCCAGCAACTTCAGGTATTGCACATGTTTTTTCACTAATACCTCCACAATATACTCTAGCAACATTATTCTAAGGGCTAAAAAAAAGATTTCAATGAAAGTTGGCTTCAAAAGGGAGCTCAAATGCCAGCTTTGGAGCAGGTAAGGGGAATCTTCTGAGTTGCATCTTAAGTGCTTAAACTTCCATGGTTAAACTAAAAATCAATTCACAACAAAAATTGAATACATTACATGGATAATTTTACATGCTAGAGTATATATTAATTCTGTGAGATGACGTAAAGGTATCTTGGAAACAACAGCACTAGCAGAGAAATTAGTTTCAAACAAAAGCCACACACAACAGATAATTTTAGGCACAACTTCAAGCAATAAAGCTCATCTTTAAAGTGCAATTCTGTTTTTTCTTTTGTGTTTGTTCATTTGTTAAATACTGAATTGTCTCTTTATACACATACTGAACAGTAGCTTAATACGTCTGTGAATATTGCACAAAAAAATGTCTGACACCAAAAGCATGACAAAAAATCAGCCATAAACAAAATTTTTAAACCTAAACAGTCTAAAGTCTAACCCTTTAGATTTATGTTTAGAATCATCTGCACCAGTACTGAATGGGCATCTTCACTTCACATAAGGTGGCTAATTACCTGAAAGTTGTTTTTCATGCCTATCTCTGCTTTAAGTGTTTTATACAGCAACCTCATTTTCCACCCAGTGTCTCACTGAAATCTGACTTCAATTTTACCTCATCTCTCTCCCAGTTGCTCGTTAACCGATTAAGTTTACCTCATACTCTGGACTTACTATACATACAATAAACCTTCCTTGCTAAAGCCCTAAAAGCCAAAATATGTAATTGTGTTTAGATAGATGAACCATTACAAACTGAACACAAAAACAATTAATTTCAGCTAGCACATTCCACATAAGATCTCTACAGTCATCAGCTCTATTTCTTAATTACTTCCCTTTTCAGGTAAAAGTGGGGAGGTGTTCTATTCATAATATATAATGTGGCAAAGTTTTCTGTGATTCTGTTATTTACTGTTCTGCACATTATATAATATAGAATTTATTTTTAAGAATCAACTTGTATTTTATGAAAACCTTGATGAGCTTTTTGCTTTGTTCCTTTGTAGTCAGAAAAGGTGCAAATTTAAACTCTAACATCTTAGATCAGACCTGTTGAAAATTGAGAGGAAATGGGAATGGAAAACAAGATTCCACTTGAATAACCTCTCATCAACATTTTTAAAGTGAAAATAGCCTCTCTTTAGACAAAAACATACATATTTAAAAAACAAAATAACCTTTCCTTTAAAGGACAGTCAGCTTTCAGCTTTAAAAATCTATACAGACCTGAAAGTGAACCAAGAGTACGATGGAAATATCAACATTTTTCAAACTCTGGGGGAATACCCAGATGTCAGGAGCCAGTTTTATGGATGTGCAGAAAGTCAATTTTTTCCCCTACAAAAGTAAAGACCTACTCTAGTTTTAGAGAGCAGCTATGTACTCAAGAAGGGAAAGGAGTGAGAAAAAAAAACAACAAAAAACCCTCCATACCTCTTCTTTCTAATGGTATTTCTAGCAGTAGTCTCTTCATTGCATCCTATTTTGAACGATTCATAAGACACCTTTATTAACAATCCAAAGTGCTTTGTTTTTCTCTCCTTAAAATAAGGACTAAAATCATGGTTCTAATTTGTTTCAGAAATGTAGTCAGATCTGAATTGAAAAGATCTGCTTATCAGTATTTGCTGAAAGAACACTGAGCGATTTAAGATTACATGGATGTGCACTATCTAGTGAAAAGTTTAAAGGATAACTCCTAAAAGGGACTGAGACACCTGAACTTTCATTGATTTCAAGGGGTGTTTTTGCATCTGGATCCTTTTTTTTGCATCTAGCCTCAAGTCATTTGACATGCATGTGCCAGGGAAGCTATTCGTGGACTGAAGCTATAAAAGCTTAGAAGTGAAGATTTCTGTGGATGCATGCATGCATACATACTCAGTTTATTTCTTAGAAAAGCTCACTTTAATACATCCTCATTTTGCAAAGTCCAAAATACTGTTCTTGGGGTTTGTTTCTTTTTTTCATTAATGTTTTTGAAAATAATAATTCTGCTGATTTTGAGGCAGATTCAGGTCAAGGGAGGGAGGGGTTGAGGGGCAAGATGCTATGGTTTTGGGGACATATGGATACATTTTTGGAACACTTTACTGGATATGCACATCCTAAACCCATAGTGTACATTTACAAATTTCACAGTCCCATGGCATCCTCTTCAGAGTCAAATATTTCAAGACTACCTTAAAAAAGAACACCTATTTACAGAGCAGAAAGGTTTTTCCTTATCTTGTTTCCCCATTCAGCTCCTTCCCAGTTACCAGAAGCTTGTTTAGAAATTAGTTACCCACCCCAAAAAAAATAAAATAAAAATACACATCTCTGAAAAACTCCTTAAAGTACCAGCTCTGATTAGGACATCATAGGATTGTTCAAAGCAAATATGTGGGTTTTTAAAAATAGTTTTCAGAAACAAATTTTATTACGTAAAATAGTTTCAAATCCCTACACATATGGCAAAGTTTTCTGCAAACATCTGAAGTCAGGTACTTCAGAGTCTTTCCAATATTAAACAGAAATCAATAAATACAAGTAGTACAATAAAGTTAAAAGTTTGTAATTAAAACACATTGTGGAACCCTCAACATAGGTATCATGTACCCCTTATTCCCAGAGGTTTATCACTTACCAGTTCACAAACACTTGCACAGGCAGGTTTGTGCACAAGTATCCTTAGCATTGTGTTTCAAAAATTTTCTCAATAATACCTAAACCATACATCAAGCATACCAAAGTTTCACTGCAATGCATGAATGGATGGTATTTTTATATAATAAGATGCATTTCACCCTGTGCAATTTGCTTGCTTGCTTGCCATCTGTGAACAGTGAAAATGAGCTAGAAAACAAATATAGTAACTCTCTGATTATAACAGAGGAAAAAACCCACAAACATTAAATGTATGATGTACATCACTTGCGATTATTCTGATAAATATGAAGATTTTGCATAGGCCTCTGGAATACAGTCACAATTATGGCCAGAAAGAAAGCCTTATAGATTTAGTGTATATTCCACTGCTTTAACCTAATTGGTAATAAGAACCTAGAGATTTACTAGTAACTCCATTATTTGATAATCCAAAAAGGACCAGAAACGATTTCTGCAAGCATTCTCTCCTCCACAAATACACAGAATAGCATCTCGGTAAAGTGTGTAATGGTCATTGCAGGCTTCATCATTTACTAAATTAAGAGAACTGATGGGCAGTTCTCTTGAGAACAACTGATAACAAACTTTGAACATAGTTGGACAATTTTGACCTTTTACAAGAATCTGCATATTTGATAGTTTAAACTTCAGAATAGGTCAAAATCTACTGGGCAAATATTATAGAAAGATGCTAATTTTAATATTAATTCAGGATTTAGAGGCTCTTTGTAAAGAAGCCTTAACCAAGGCAGTCAATGTATGGGAAACAAATTGATGTATGACTCTTTTCAATGAGATGTTCATGTTATTAATGCGTCTTTGGTTTAGGGAGGCGGGAATGTCGATTAGAGGCCAAGCTATCCCCAGAATGCAAACTGATGTTTTGATTTTGCATATTTTCCTTTCTTTGTGTTAGTGGCCTTGGGATGCTAGTCTTGGAAGAGGTGTTTTGAGGCTCCTGAGATATAAATGAAGATTTAGGGATAGTTATTTGCTTAGATTTAAGCAAGAAAACAGTTGCTGGGCAAAGTTTAGACATCTTCTGGCTCTGTTTACCCTTTAGGTTAGCCTGACTGGATGTTGGCTGTAGATGTATTGGACTACTTGGTGGTGGTATTTCAGGCTCCTTGGAAGCTGGAGATGGTTCAAGAATGGCCATTGTAGGAAACACTAAAGCATTTGCGCTTGGGGGCTTTGCAATTCTTATAGTCTTTGGCCGAGAGGCATGGTTCACAGATGACTGTTTACTTCTCACAGCTAACTTAGTCTGCATCTTTCTTGTATTCACGTGGGAAGGTGTCTGAAAAGACGAATCATGAGACTGTAGTGTATTATCTTCATTACTAGCCATCTCTCCAGGTTCTTTAGCACTCTTTTTAAGTTTCAAATTTTCTGTCAAAAATGCGTTCTCATTCAGATCTTTTATACCTAACCGTATACTCAATAGAAGGTTCTGTTCATTCAGGCTATTTGCATGAGACCCATCAGCAGCATTTTTATTCTGATGATCACCATTTTCATGCAGGCCATGTTTATGGTATTCACTGGGGGCCTTGATATGTGACATTTTAATTAATTTTCCCTGGGCGAGGTCTGTGGTATTGGGAAGGCTGTTGGAAGGCTGTAGTACTTGAGGCTGTTAAAGACAGAAATTATATTAATAATATTAGATTAAGGAAATGTATAGTTAAAAACATTTTGAAACCAAGGTATGCTGACTGAATGCTAAATGAAGTTTACATATCCAGTTTGCATATTAAAAAGTTGATTTAGGCAGAAAAGGTGGATTCATAGGACACATCCAAGTGGAACTGGACACACACAAAAAGAAATGTCAATATACATCTCCAAATAAAAAGACCGACAAGGAGAGAAATATATTTATTGATTTACAGCGCAAAATGTAAAAAGATTTGGTCAACTAAATAGATAAACATGTGTGTTTATTTGCAATGCAGTAAAAAAACACAATAAAGGCATGTCCAGGAGTAGTGAGTTCAAATGCAAGTGCCTTACCCAATAAAATATTATTTTTGTTAGACTGCATCCATCTCATCTTCTCCATAATGATTATTTATTTAGTTATACAACACCTTTAACTCATTTTAAAATCTGTAAAAGTAAATATGGAATTTACTGGACTATTTAGTATTTGTAGTGTATTTAGAAAGACAATTTCTAAAAATTAATTTTCTTGCTCAGCTGAGGACAGAGGATTTGTTATAAATCAGCCCTAATTAGGTTATTGACTATATGTAGCTGTTTTATCTTGAAGGGCATTCAGATAAACTGATAAATAGACACTGTTCAACAAAATGACATTACACGGTATACCTCAGGCTACATTTTATGTATTACATTCATCACCAACAGATAAACATGGTTTAAGGGAGACTTTACATTTTATCTGAAGGTAGAATCTAGCATTACGAATATGAGATGTGTCAGTGTCTTCTCTGGGTCATTTCTATTTTTCCTTCGCTCTTCCCTGAAAAGAGACTTTACAGATCAACGTGTGTACTAATCAAACACATTCTTAACCTTAAAATTGTATGTGGATATTGAAAGAATTCCTCATGATTCTGCTATTCACAGTATTTAAAAAAAACGAAACCCAAAACCTACCATACTGCACTTTAACTATTAAAATTCAACATCACCGAATTTCAGACTTGGATAATTTTAAATTTTTCCTTTTCAGAAAGAGAGACCACTACTGCCAAAGTACCTTTTTAAGGACTGCTAAAACAGAGAAATAGTAGGATAGAAGTTTTACAAAGAATTATTATTTTTGTTTCATGTATATAATATGCAGTCACACACTATTCCAGTAAACCCAAAGCCACATTTGCCATTTGATTACTTAATGAACATCTCACTTCAGTCCTCACTTTAAAGGATTTATTTACTATTTTCATCAATATTACCACTAAAGCAATTTTTTTGTTTAAAAAATCCCTCATCCATCTTTTCCCTGCCTTGACAGAAAGATATGTTTGTTTAGATCTAATACATACGCAAAGGACACTTCGCTCTACTAACATGAACCTCAGCACTCATCAGCTTTTACTGGGTTGGTCTT